CAGTGAGCCACGAAAAATGGATCCAGCAGGAGCACCCCAAGCAAAGGCGCCCCGTTGTCTTTTTGTAGGACAGAGTTCACCCCATGCCAGCCCAAATGGATTAAAAGGGCCCTCTTCTGATGGGGGCTGGGCGGCTTTCTTTGGCTGAACTCCGTTGTGCAGTTTTTAGGGCGCCCGTCGACAGGGTGGGCCGCCAGATACTTTAAAGCTGCCTCCCTGTCCACCTTCCCTCTCTGAGGGGTGCCTTTGGGCCAGCGTTTGCTGTTTCCTCTTCCATCTGGGCGGCACAGATGCCACCCGCAGGGGCAGCAGAGAGATGCTCTGGTCTCTCTGAAGCTCCGCCCGGGGGGCTTTGCTCTCCCAACCCCTCCTGGGGCTGGGGAGGCCTAAAGGCGAGGGCCCCGAGGTCTGAACTGCAGGACAGTGGTGGGGGAGGGCAAGGCAGGGACCGAGCCCAGCGCGAGTTTCCAAGGCTTCTTCTTGGCCATGGCTGGCGCCAGCTAAAGAAGAAACATTAACCCCCCCACCCCCACCCCCACCCCGATAACTGGGGCTGGGAACTGTGCATGCAAATGAGAGAGGGGGAGACAGTCTATGCATTTGGCAAGTTTATGTTGCTATTCATTGTTGGGAGGTGTTTTTGTATTGCCAAGCTAGATGTCCTTCTTCATCTACCAGCCTTTTGAGGGCATTTTCATTGCCAGCCTAGTCACTGTTCATTGTTCCCTTTATTGATTTTACCTTTATTTTTCAATTGTATTGGGCGTTTGTTTGTTTTAGCTTTAATTGCATTTAGTATAATTTTAGATGGCCTTGTTCGTTTTTCGAAGCTCCCCCCCCCCAAAGGCAGATACAGAGGAAAAAAAGCAAATTGCATGAACCAAATTATTTGGCATCTTTTGTATTTTGTTTTGGAGATGCACCCTTTCGGCCGCTTAAACCCTCCAGTCAGAGAGAAACGGTCCAAATGAAATTGGTACCGTAAGAGGCTTCTACCACAGGAACTCCTTAACCTCCCGTGCCCCATCTGGGAAATGGATAAACCCAAGGGGGATTCCGCGCGATACCACCGAGTCTTTCCAACCAGGGTCTCCCCCTTTCTCTCAGTGTATTCCTTCAGAGGTGTTTTGCAGGATATCCTTTATTTCCGGTGCAGCAGCAGCAGCAGCAGCAGCACCAGGACACCTCCATGTACTTTCTTTCCGGTCTTACTTTCCATTCAGGCCCCTAATGATGTTCGACCTGCCGATATCCTTTTTTCTGTAGCGCAGATAGTTCCAGGACCCATCTGCATTCAGCTTTTTCTCCAGACAGGTACATTTACTCTTGTCCCACCACCTACAGCTCTATAACCCCCCAACGATTCCTTACGCTCTTATCCCCAGCCAAGATGACCCATACTCCACTGAGTTTCTGCTCAGTGCTGAACCACTGGCGTCCCGTTTCACTTCACTTCACTTCACTTTACTTCACTTCACTTCACTTCACTTCACTTCACTTCACTTCACACAGGCTTCCCCTTTGTCACATTCCACCCATACCCACAGTAACCAACCTCCATATTCACATAAAACATTCCGTAATTCAGGTTCATTGTATATGTTTTCTAATCAAAGAAGGTATAATAAACTTCTTCAGTGTTCTTCAGTGAAATGCAGGGCAGCAAGAATCTATTCTATTTGTGCACCAAAAAGCCACATTGCACTTCCCAAATGTTGTTCATTTTTACCTGTACTCTTTCAGGTCAGAGTTCAGAGGCCTAACTAATCCACCTTTGCATTCACTGCTGCTACCTTTCCCTTTCTAACAGAGCTGAAGGAAGACCTGGCTCACAGGTTGGTATTCCAACAGGAACTGTGTGTCCAGGAAGACCCCCAAACCACTAAAATACTCTTTCCAGAATTTCCTCAGGTTTCCCCAATGGCTACAGCAGCACTCCTCTTCATCCCCCTCCCTCCATCTTTCTCAGTTAGGTTAGGTTCAGATAATTCTTGCCATAACTATCCTTTCCTACCATCTCCCTGGAAAAGTTGCATCAACTTACAGTCTTCATCCAAGTTCGAACTACCAGTGACAGCACTTGGTTGGTCTAACCTCCAGCTTCGGTGCCTGCTGGTCCTTGACGTGTTTGCTTCTCACTGCAGGCTTCCGGTTCTCTAAGAACAGCACCGTGACTCTGGAGGAGAAGGGCCTGACGTACCATCGCATCCTGGAAGCCTTCCGCTTTGCCTACGCAAAGAGGAGTTTACTCGGGGACCCTGCGTTTGTCAACCTCACGGAGGTAGCTCCATTCCCTGCTGTGCTCCGTCGCAACTGTCCTAGCCCCCCTTTCAGATGGCCGTGGCTGAGCATAGCCGAGCAACGGCTGCATTTGGTTGGGGCCGGAGTGCTAGGGTCCCTGAGCTGAGCACAAGCCAGCCACCTCATCATTTGCCCAGAAGAAATACAAGTAAGATCCTCAGCCGGTGAATTATTGCTCGCTCTTTTCTGCATAATTTCCCTTCTTTCCTTCCATCCAGGTGATCAGAAACATGACATCAGAGTCCTTTGCTGACAGCTTGCGGGGCAAAATCTCCAACACTACCCATAACATCAGCTATTATGAACCAGATTACTACACTCCAGAGCACGCTGGGACGTCTCACGTCTCTGTTGTGGCCGAGGATGGCAGTGCGGTCTCCGCCACCAGCACCATCAACCAATAGTGAGAGCTCCAGCCTGGGACCGTTGCTGTGGAGGGGCAGCAGGACCCTCGCCCAGACAGGCCAGCGAGTTAAGGGAGGACCCGTCCAGTGAGGAGTCTTTCATAGTCCGGCCCCAAATCACGGCTCTTCCGCCCCGAGCAAGGGGCGGCTGCCTGGCGGGGCTGGAGGGAAGCCGAGGGAACGTCTGGCCTTTTGCTCACCCAGATCTTGACCTGAGCATTTATCTTTCTGGATGGCGGGGGGGGGGGGGTGTTTCACAAGCAGGAGTGTTCTGTTGTTTTGTTGTGTGGTGCTTGTTTTTTCCTAAGACCCCCAACCAGAGCTGGAGCGTGCCCATCTTTGCCAGGTGCTCAGTTATTTGCTGGCAGTCACCACCTGTAAAGCGGCAGGTTTGGGCAGAAGGTCACCTCCCCACAGTCCCACTTCCATTGTGGCAGCTGCCATGACTACCACCCTCTTCTCCCTGCCCCTCCTCCTGAATTGGGCTGGGGATGCATAACATACTCCGTCCCCAGATATTTTCGAATCCTGCCACCGCCCCAGCCTGTCTTTCCTTTCCCTCTAGACGAGTGATAAAATAGGGAGATATTTATTTATCTATCTACTGATTTCCCCTGGCCTTTGCCTCCTAGTAAATTCACCAGGGGGCTTTTGCAGCGGCCTTTGTTTGACCGGCTGGAGCAGACCTCGCTTTTCCCGCAGAGCCTTCAAAAGCTCGTTCTGGGTGGCGATGCTGGACTCTGCACCAGGACAGAGGGAGGCCGGTGGCCTCAGAGCTCGGGCGTTTCCAGGAAGGGCCGGTGGGCAGGAAGGCTTCTGCTGGATCCATCACAGGTCTGGCTTCCTTTTGTCTGTCTTAGCTTTGGCTCTGATGTCCGTTCCCCCGTGAATGGTATCCTATTCAACGATGAGATGGATGACTTCAGCTCCCCCCACATTCTGAATGGCTTTGGGGTTCCCCCCTCGGTTGCCAACTTCATTGCCCCAGGTAAGGCTTTGGTTCCTACCCCAAAATCTCCTCCTTTTCCACCTGCTGCTTGGGCCACCTCTCGGGAGAGGGTCTCTTCCCAGGCAGCCTCTGCCTTCTGACCAGCCTCCCCCTTGGTGCTGCCCACCCCGTGGTTCCTTGTGCTCCATGTGCCTCTTCATCTGCCACCCCCGTGGGAGCAGTCCACGGAAATGCCGCCGTTTCCAAGGCCATTCTGCCCTCCACTGCGTTTGGTGTGTGCCAGACTGAGCTGACTCCCACTTTCCTTCTCCTGGGGGTCACGGGTGTCCACAGTGGGTGATCAAGAATGTCAAATGGCAGCCACAGTTTTGTGTGAAGCTTTGATCACGCTGTCATGGCCACCATCTAGACTTTTTTGACCACCCACTGCCTGTGGTCTTTCCTCAGTGCCTGATTCGTAGCCCTGTCTCAGACATTTTCCTTCAGACCAATGCCAGCCACGTTGTGAGCTTTATTTTGGGTTTTTTTCTCATCCCCCCCCCAATTAATTCCTTTCCAAATACTTTTCTCTTCCCAGTATTCTGTAAATGGTTCCTTTCCAACGATCACGCTAACGCCTTTACTTCTCTTGGCTTCCCTGGCTATCTGATCGCCCTTTCAAATAGTGGGTACATCAGGGTTGTCTGAATTCCACTTACAGCACAGATTCACATGGGGCGAGGTCTCCAAAATTACCCACCCTCGACCCCCAGTTCTAGCTGGTGAACCTAAAAGCCCTGCGTCTGGGCATTCCTGGGCACACAGACTGACTCCCTTTTTGCTTCAGCACAGGAATAGCATCTTCTTACCTTCCAGTGCTGGAGATTTTCCCTGATGCTTTAATGCAGTGTTTCTCAACCTTGGCCACTTTAAGCTGTGTGGACTTCAACTCCCAGAATTCCCCAGCGGCCAAGTTTGAGAAATGCTGCTTTAATGGCTCTTTGGGGCAACTGCTTCTTTGTGTTGATTGTGTTGCCAGCTATTCACTCTACGTTGTGTCATTTACAAAAAGGGAAATCGAGCAGGCTCCTTCTGGACCTGCATCTGACAGCGTTGGGAAATTGCCTAAAAAGCAGCTTGCCGCGGGGAAGACTGGGGGCAAGGGCATCCCCCACTTCTCCTAAGATTTAGTGCTCAGAGTGGTTTTTCCTTGTGCCTGTATGACCTGGTCCTTCCCCAGTCCCCCAGCCACCGCATCAGAATCCGGGGTGACGGTGGGGGGAGAAGGGTGAGCCCCATCTGCCTAATTCAGCTGTGCTGCCATCCATCAGAACGACATGAAGCCTTGCTTCGGGATATGCCCGTGATAGGCCCGAGAGAAAAGACCCTCTTGCTGTCTCAGCCAGGTCTGTAAAGGTGCAACAGACACTGGCAGGGATGGTGAAATGCAGCCCATTCTTGTACAAGGAGAAGTTATCTTTACAAATGCTGGTTGGCCAACCCCTGGCTGGTATCACCAAGAGGCCATTTCACTCCCACGTACTCTCGCCTGTACAGGAGCAAGGAAGGGCTGATGAGAACCGGCACATAGTTCACATGATATTTACTACTACAGCTGTACTGGCTAGTGGTTTAAGTGGCACTTTTAAGGATCATGTCCATCAATGCATCTCACCTGGCTCCATCCCCAACAGGTAAACAGCCTTTCTCATCCATGTGTCCGACTATCCTGGTGGATGAGAAGAACAGAGTCAGGATGGTGGTCGGTGCTTCTGGAGGGACAAAAATCACAACAGCAACAGCCCTGGTGGGTCATGCTGGGTAGGCTGAGGGATGCTTCTGGAGGCCACCACATCTTGCTCTTTCAAGAAACCCTGGCTCCAGGGAGACCCCAGGCCTTCTCTGTAGAATGGGGACAGTGCAGTACTTATGGACACCAGTGCCATTCTGGGCATCTCGCTCTGTGACTCTTTTCTGCGCTGGTGCTACCAGCGTGTCCACCAGTACCAGATATTTTCATAGGTCAGTTATGAAGGACACCTAAGGAGGGCCTGACAATGGGAGAGAAGGGTGGCCAACTCTGAGGTCTGCAGACTGGGCTGAAAAGATCCAGTGAACTGGATGTACGCAAAAAAGCAACAATGCTTGATAGAAAGAGAGAAAAGTGGATTCAAAAGCACGTGCCTGGAAGTCTCACCGCTGTTTTCCACTCAGTTTCTTGAACAAACTATCTTTGAAGCACGACTAGTTTGCCTTTCTGGGAAACGACATGTAACCCCCCATAGTATAAATTCTGTACGCCTTGGCATACATAGAATATCTATGCTTGACTATAGCTGTAGCTGTGGATTGGGGGAGTTGAAATGAAGATGGCGAGAAAAGGTGTCTGTTGACAGGTAGCTCCTGTCTAAAGTTACATTTAGATCCCCAAGCCCCCAAAAGTTTACAGTTCGAGCTGTAAAATTGGAATCTCAGACCTTGAACAAGGAGTTTCAAATCACTCCACGTTGAAATTCCCTAGGTGGCCTTCAGCTTTCCATTATTATCTATCTCACATACAGTAATTTTGGGGAAGATAGAGGACGGGTGGCTTCAGCACCACGCTGAGCTTGTTAGGGGAAATGGTTGTTGACTAAAGCAATTATCAAGTATATCTCAAAGCTCCTGGGGGTCTTCTCAGCAAGAATGACATTTTATTGAGCAGCTAGGGTCTCTCAAAGACCTATGACCTCCCACAACTCATCCTGGATTAATGGATCCCAGGAAACAACATCCAGCTTCAATCCTGTCAAGAGATGCTCTGTCAAGAGATGTTCTGCTTGGAGACCTAATCCTGCATCTTCTCTTTTGTGCAGACAATCATCAATTCCTTGTGGTTTGGCTACGATGTTAAGACTGCTGTGGAGGAGCCACGAGTTCATAATCAGTTATTCCCCCCAGTTACAATGCTGGAGAAGAATGTAAAAAAGGTCTGTTTTAATTGTGGAAGAACCAGGGAAAGGTTATAAAACGAAGGGGGGTTGTCAGCTGAACGCTTCTTTTTCATGATCGGATAGCCCAGCTCTCTAACAGTGTCCTGCGGTTAGGCTGTTTGGGAAGTCTGAGGGCTGTAATTCCAAAACACATACAGGGGATCACGTTGGGTGAAGTTGCTCTCTTTAGCTCAAGGTGCTTTCCAAGTAGTAGCGTTGCCCAATCCTGCTGACAGGTAACTTGCCACAGAATATTCATGAGACCACAGCTGGGAACAGCTGTATCCTGACTGAGCACAATCATTTCTGAACCACAAGGCAAGAGTCTAATGTAAGAAAATGTTCTTGGATCTGCTGAAGACACAATGCATAATCTGGTTTTTCCTTCCTGCATATAGGAAATAGAAGAAGACCTAGTGAAAAGGAAACATGAGATCCAGAGGATCGATAAAGGTGCTGTGGTGCAGGCCATTCTCTGGACTGAAGGTGGATGGGCTGCAGCCTCCGATTCCCGGAAAGGGGGCGTCCCAGCAGGATACTGAACTGGCCAGCTACCTGTTGCTCAGAAGGTCTGAGCTTGACTGGTTCACCACTGCCTAGAAATCTCTGGAGCAAATGATTCTGTGTCTCATCAGTGTGGGTTGCGTGGTAGATTTATAACGAACAAAGAGACGACCATGGGACAATTGTGCATTGCTTCAGTGACAAATACTGTATGAAACAATATCTATGCATATAGAAATGGGGGAAAAAATCCAGCTGTTGGCATCAGCTTGGCCTTGGCATTTTTTTAGGATCCACAGAATTCCTTCCTTGGTTCCTGAATGCAGGAATGAATATAAAAGCATCCTGGAGAAAGCTAGACAACCCAAAGTGGCTTTTGTGTCTTGGTGCTATCTGGCACGTCAGCGTGCTGGCCGCTTCCACTGGTGTTCTCCAAGGCACGTCAGCAGATGGCGCTCCTTGCTGCAGAAGACCCAGAAGAAGACCTAAGATTGATGGTCTGTTTCCTTCTCCTCCACCAAGCATCATCGTTGGATGGGATGGAGGGGTGGGTGAGAAACAGATGGCTGTGGCATGGGTTGTCTAGCAAAATCACACGCGTTTTGTGTGGGTGAAAGGAAACCTGATCGTTGGGCTGCTTTGGGACACAGGTTCCAGAAGACAAGCTGAGAAACGTGAGGTGAGGAGAGTTGGACCGTGGAAGAGAGAGAGGGGTCTCTCTCCCCTTCACCATCCATCCCCCCCTTCTGCTGCCCCTAGCTACTGTTCAGGCTGATCCAAAGGCCTGAACTCTCCCCTGCTGAAGCAGAATGGGCTGGGAGGCAGTGCCCGCGACCAGAGGGAGGGGCCTGTGCCAGCCTAGAGGGGCCAGTAGGAGCTCGGCCATTCCAAACTCCGAGGGATCACCCGGCCACAGCAGAAACCAAATGGTTGGTGGTACACCAGCCAAAATGGTACTTTAAAACCAAAACAGCTCCGAATAACAAGGCTGTTTCTAATATTCTCTTACTCCTTTTTGAAGTGTTGTGCCCAGACATCAAAACTGAATGATTGCTTCCTGTAATTGAGAAAACTATACAGGTCATTCAGCCTAAAACTGCATTTCCCTGTTTGTGGTCATGTCAGACTTGTACAGTTCCTAATCAAGATTCAGTATCTTTTTGGCAAGTACGATATTCCCAAAATCCAATTCTCTTTTTGCCCAGCTGGATATTCCCTAGTCCTACACCTCCGCACTCGACTGAACATTTTCTAAGTAAGTAGCCCTGTTGCTGTTGCATTTCATTCATTCCTCTGTATCGTTTTAAATTTTATTTCTTTCTAAGGTTCTTGTGTGTGTCATAAAACCCGTTCTGCCACTGCTTCACCGTTAATCAAAAACCCAGGGAATCCACCCTGGAACATTGTGACATGACACTTTTTCTTTTAGATTTTTTTTAATCCCCTCTTTCTTATTTTTATAAATAACTCAAGGTGGCGAACAGATCTCATACTCCTTCCTCTTTTCCCCACAACAGCCGCCCCATGAGGCGGGCTGGGCTGGGCTGGGCTGAGTGGGGGGGACTGGCCCAAAGCCACCCAGCTGGCTTTCCTGCCTCAGGCGGGACCCGAACTCGCCGCCTCCTGGTTTGTAGGCTGGTACCTTCACTGCTAGAGCAAACGGGCTCTTAATGACTATGAATCAACCATCTTTCTTAATGAAAGGCACTTAATGATGCCTTTCTCCAGTGTGATGAGGAACCACTGATGACACTATTACTTTTTAATCATATCATCTAGCTGATATTGAACTATTTTGCGAGCCCTCTTTCCCCCCTTGCTCTTCTTCTTCTTCCTACTGGCTGCAGGGTCCGCTTGCCTGTCCTCGGCTTGGCTAGTTCACATGGCAGCGCCATCAAGGCACGATGTGAGGAGGGACTTGTTGCAGGGCCTGGCCCTGTTTTTGGGCTGAGGGAGTGGGACTGACCCAAGGCCACTCAGCTGGGTCTCCCTGCTGCTCGTCCAGCATCCTCACCACTACCCCACACTGGCTGTCCACTAACATCTCACAGTGATTTGCAAAATGCTACAGCATTTCTACAATCACGGAAAGTACCCAGTCAAAAAATGAGGCAAGGCTAATGCAGAGATTTTCCTTAGAAGAAAGCTTGCTAAAGATAACCCACATCCGTGGAATTTGGTATGGGCAATAAAACAAGGGAAGTCTCTTCAGTTATCTAAAAGAGGCCAGAAACTGCTTAGAGAAGAGGAATCGACAATCGGTTTCTTTTGAGTACAGGACCTTTCACGCACGGTCTCCATTTTATCATTTGGCATAAGGACGGGCAGTCGGTGGCTTATGGACTTCTTTCCCTCTCCTACCACTTTAAACATTTCGTGTGACCCAGGAGGTTAGGATCTTTCCAAAATCCTGGGTGATGAACCAGGGGAAAGTTGCACAAACCTCAGAGACAGCAGTGGAACAAGGCTCCCCCCTGCACACACACACGCAAAGCTTGTAGCAGCAGGGCTGGCCCTAAGTGAGCAATGGGGTGTCTCAACCATCCCCACCCAGAACCCCCCATCCGCACACCTTCTGTGACTTCCTGCCTTGCCGTAGCGGTTTGATAGTGCTCACTGGGGGAATAACACCTTTATCTGGTACTTCCCCCTCTCTATACGCCCCCCTCTTGGTGGGTATCCCCTACAACCTATGGCTGCACTTTTGAATAAAAAGGGGAAAATAAGATCATCTGTAATTTTATTTTTTTAAATCCTTTTTAATTTTAGGCAGTCACATGCAAGATCAGTGATAGGGAAAATTAATAATATTGCTGTTTGCCAGCCCCACTACGTATACCAGGCCAAGAAAGTAACTCCAAAGGAGGGTTAAAACTACTGAATTATATTGGTGCTAGTAACAGAGTCTTGCAATCTTTACTTCTCTCTCACCCCCAACCCACTTATACTCCTGTGAACTAAGAAGGTGTCTGTCTGAGCTGTTTCTCCTCCCTCAGATTGTTTCGGGGTTTTCGCCTCATTGCTCTGGGAAAGGATCTGGCTTATCTCCCTCCAGGTCATCTTCTTTACTCTCTACGTGTTTTAGAAGCCTAGTAGGAATCTCCCACAGAATGATATATTAGATTCTGGGCAGACCAGAAGGGTAGGACTCTGCATCATACATAAGCAAGAAGAAGAAAATTTGCATCATACATGCAATGATATGGAGTCCATAATCAGTCAACAAACATTTACCCGTAACATGGGGGGTGGTGATGAGTGGGGACAGAGAGGGCTGGATTATTGAGTTGATGTACACATTGAACCAGGGAGGGACCAGAACATGCCTTGCCTCGCCCCTCTCCGCCCCTCTCCAAGTGGTGTTGGATTGCTTAGTTTTTCCCACAATCTCTCTCTCGGAATTAAATCAGAAGCAGAGGCAAAGTCAGCCAAAGGTGACTTTTGCGAAGGGAACCTCTGAGTCAGGAAGAAGGTGCCTTCACTAAATAGTGGAGAATCAAGCGGTGCTTCTGAAGCCTGCCTGCTCCTCTCGCTTTCCACCCAACCTGATATTCAGCAAACAGAATCTAACTGTATTTGGGAGGCTGATAGATCTGTAATTGGCAGGGCCTGCTCTATTACCTTTGTTTTTATGGAATGGGAAAACCGTGGGGCAGCCCCAGGCGAAGACGAAAGTGCAGAGCTGTTAAGTTGGTGAGTTGGGCAGCCCACACTGGAGCCCACCAGCCTTCGTTTTTCCTTAAAGATTGGGGGGCATTAAGAGCTCCTCCAGGGGCATTTCCAGATTTTGATGATGAAATGAGGTCCTGGGCATGCGAGGCAGATCTGGAAGACCATTTAGAAAAGGTCGCAGCTGGATTCTCTGTTGATCCAGCCATGAAAGTAGTTTTCCTGGGAGTCTGTCGCTATTAGACAAAGTGAACCCAAACCACTGTCTTTAAGGGAACCAGGAAGGATTCTCGATCCTCATGCCTCACTTAAAACTTCCCTTTTTGGGATTTTAGGAGGGGAGCCTTGTGCTCCTTCTTTTGCGCCAAAAGGGAATGGAGCATTTCTAGGGAATTTCACACTGAAGGATATTTACTGCCACTTTGGCTCTGCTGTATTCTGAAACAACAGCAATCGAGGGGTAATCTTGATTGGAGGATCCGGGGAGCCCGGATGATAATGCTACGGCCAGCTCGGGGCATCAGCTTGGCCAGCCTGAGAAGAAGTTGAAGGAGAGAACCTGAACTCAAGAGACCCAGCAACTGTTGCCCCACTGCAAAGGCCATTTATTGCAAACCCACCCTTTTGTGGGAAGCTGAGAGGAAAGTGGGTTTTCTTGAAACTCAGCACCCATTTTGGGGTCAAGCAAACAAAGGAAAGCAATCACAATCAAGGCAATTTCCAACACCAAAGTGAGTGTATGTGAAACCAAGATCATAATCTGGCCCACTGGAGCCCCAGAGAGCGAACTCCCCATTGGAACCTCCCTTGGTGTCCCCCTAAGAAGGACGAGGACTGGACTGCATGCCAAGGGGCCAACGGGAAGCCGGCCACATTGCACTGCTGGTCCCAAGGCTCTTTTGGAAGGGGAGGGCAATTAAAATGGGCTTCTAAAGAGGTGCCCTGACCAGACAAAATCAAAACATGAAATCCTTAAACATCCTCCATGAGCAATTCTCAGCCTAAAATAATCTGTGTGTGGGGAGGAAGGGGGGTTGAAAAGAAAAAAGCAAAGCCATGAGATTTGAAAAGAAACAGACCAACAAATAATATGTGAAAATATATTTTAAACTTCCTATAGAACAAATGTGCATTAGGAAATAGACAAAGCTCACCATCCAGAATGACTCTCCCATCCCTGGTACAATCCCCCCTCCCCGCTTCCTCCCCCCGCCCAGCACAGTAACAATCAGAGGAAATGCAGCTGCTGGTGAAGGCTCAGCAGGTGGGAATGCAGGGGTTCATCGCTTTCGCTTTTAGCAGGAGACACAGGGAGAATAAGCGCTCACATTGACGGCTTTGGCTCCGAAGTCGTGCCCCGCCTCCCCAGCCGGATCTCTTCAGCAAACCATTAATGGCTCTTAGGCTTAAAAGTTCCCCAAAGCAGACCCTACTCAGGCCGGGGCTGCTACATCTGGTCCCCGGAGCGTTGGCTCATTTGCTTGCCCAGCTAATTGCTCGTTTTCTCCCTGAGCAAATGCGGCTTCCAAGCGTGAGCGTGGAAGGGGCTTCAGTCACGCCGGCTGCAGAGTTACTGCTCTCCTCGGGCTTTCCAGTCCAGAACGAGCTTTCCAGGAGAATTTGGACTCCTACCCAATACAGGCTCAGCCTTCTAGACTCCCGCCTTGCCAGCCTCAGGGTGGGAAGCCCAGCCAGACTTTTTCCCTGGACATCCTAGGCTTCCAGCAGCAACACATTCTTGTCGTCTCAGGACAGAGAAGAAGTTACTCCAGCAGGACTCAGTCCAACACACCTCTCCCTCCCGCAGGAGACAGATTTGTGGCTCAGCCTCTCCAATTCTACAGAACTGATGTCTCGCGGGTGCAGGGCAAACAACAGCAAGAAGTTAGGCCTGATGGAGGAAAAATGTGGAGAATAGTTTGGGTGTGGGTGTGTGGTTTGCATAGAAATGTATCAGAAGTTCCTTGCAGCAGCCTCTGTGAAGGCCAAAGGAGAAGGCCAAACCTCCGGAGAAGGTTAACAGGTTGCAGGAGAGTTCGCCAGAGCTTTCCCCAGCTTCTAATAGCCCGAGGCTTCCCCCTGTTTCCTTGGATCAGAATAAGGGAAGACGCAGGAGCTGTCCTGGGAGATGCCCTGCACAACGTTCAGGGGCTGTTGCGCGGTGCTGACTCGGTGCCCCATGCTTGCTAAAGCCTTCGCGAGGTCCTGCAGAGAAAAAAGCACCAGTAAGCCCCACACACCCCCTTCGAAGGCTTCCTGCACAGCTCTTTGGACCATCATCATCATCATCATCATCATCATCATCATCATCATCATCAAACCAATTTATATAGCCGCCCATCTCACCACGCCCATTATGTTAGGAAGGAGGACTGACCAGCAGCGGTAAGAGGCAGGCCCCAGCAACACCCTGAGGGAGAAGACTGGGTTGGCCACTCCTGGGCAGATGCAGAACGGGCCGAACTAATTCATCCAACAGGGTCCGCAGGCCTCATTCTCTATATTGACCCACAGGGCAGGACCAGATTTAGTGGATTAAAATTACAAGGAAGCAGGTTCAGGCTGGTCACAGGAGGAAATTCCTGACAGCATGAGCTGTAAGCCAGTGGAGCAAGCTGCCCATGTAATGGTGAATTCTGCTTTGTTGGAGGTCTTCAATCAGAGACTGGATGGTGGTCAAACCGGCTGTAGCGAATCCCACAATCGGGACTTGGACAGTCTCTAAAGTCTGAGTCTCCCCTCTGGGAAGATCAGCTGGGCAGGGAACTCCAGGGACAGGAGGAGACTGCACAGAGCTGCATAAAATACCCCAAAATAAGTTTCTGCACTATACTGGTGACTTCCCCATCTGAGGAATGGACAAGAGTGTTATTCTCAAAACTCTCTGCCTCCACTCTCCAGCTATACTCTAGGCAAGTCCAGCAGGTCCCACTCTTCTGTCTGGGTCCCAGTTGTCTCCCACACTTTCACCCACTCTTCCTAAAGCAAATGACTGATCTTGCCATTTCTCTTTTTCACCTGAGAGAAGATCAGGAGGGTGCCCTGCAGAAGGAGTGGGAGCAGACACCAGAGGTGGAGCCTTACTCTTCCCAGTTTCATTTCTTTTGATTTATTGGAAGGCCGGCAAAGTAGCTGCAGCTCTGTGAGCATCTCCCCACCGCAACAAACGCTTCCCACAATGAGATGGGGGAAGAGTTCCCACACGGGCTTGATTACGTTAAGAACTGGACCAAGGCTGTGAAGTAATGGAGCTGGTTCTCCTGTCCACCAAGGGACAAGGGGCTGCTTTCACCCAGCCTTGCTGCTGTGAATATTTGTTCATGAAGCCGTTGGTGTCTGCTGGGAGTCCACTGGCACAAAGTTGGGGAAGGGAGGAGGAGGGAGGGAGAGAAGAGCCAAGAACCAAGTCCCACGTCTCACCGGTGGAAACTGCTTCTCCACTTGAATGGAGCTGCTACTGGTGGCATAGAGAATGGGAGCTCCAATGGCTTTATCCAGATCGTACCCAAACCATAACTTATTGGCGATGGCCTGCAACAGAAAGAATCCTTTGATAAACCCATGGAAGAAAAGTCTAGCCAGAAGCATCCTTGTGAAAGCTAAGGAATATTCATGGGGAGCAATTCAGTGGATATGACTGATTTAAATTGTATCAAGGTAGTCTTTTGCCCCGACTCCTCTCACTTTTTGAAATGCAGTGTCTAGCCAGTCACAGAAGGTCAAGTGCTCCTCCCCCCCCAACCCAAAGTGGCACATTCCTGTAATTAAAAGGGATTTAACCGCATGGAAAAGAGATTAAACTTGAAAGTGACTTTTCAGAGGAAAAATAATCCCATCAGGCTGCCATCGGTTTCCTCTGACCACATCTCAGCTGAGAAGAAGAAGCACCCTCTTCCAGGAAAATCACAGCAATGGAAGAAAACACTCCAGGTGGGGTGGATTTAGGACAAGACTTTGGACAGAACTAAGGAAAGCTTGTGGGTCATCATCAAGGGCAGCTCTTGTACAAGGCAATGAGCTTACACGGCTTACCTGAGCTACAGCAGGGATAATGAGGGGCCCACCTGAGCCTCCAATTATTAGCTTGGACTGCCCACCTTTAGAAAGAAGAATGGACGGTGTCATGGAGGACGGAGGTATCTCTCCTGGGGGGACAACAGGAGAAAGCGTTAGCTCCCTGCAGGAGCCACCTCTCAGGAAAAAACACTGACACAAAGGCGCCACCATGCTTACACACTTCCTCAGCAGCAATTCCCACGGTGATCTATAGGGCTTGTTTATACTGTAGAGCCATTCTAGCATCTCAGAGGAAGACCCAGTGAGCTCAATGTGACTTACTCCCAAGTAACTAAGTAGAAAATAGCAACTTTCATTTGTTGGATCCTCTATGGCGGTCAAGCATCCAATAAGGAGCAGCCCGAGCAGTTAAAAGAACTGGCTCTTCCCTAGGAAACTTTGTCATTTTACCATATGTTAAGAATCACGTGAGAGAGTTGGCATGAAGATCAATGGCTGTATGACTGCCTCTGAAGGCCATCTCCTAGGAGACTCACAGTCAGGTGGCCACTGTGAGAACAGACTGGCAGACTAAATGGGCCAGGGGTGCAACCCAGATGTTATGTTCTGATGTTAAGCCCAACGCCCTGCTCAGGGCAGGGATCCAAACACCAGCTTCTCTGGGCGGATGGCTGCCCAGCCTCCAGCCATCAGTTCTCTGGGTCATTGGTTTTGGTGCCCAACTGCTCTTATGGCTAAGAAATTCCTTTTAACCTTCATTCAGAATTTGCTTTCCTGGAACAAGGCCATTATTCTGGGTCCTGCATTTGGGACAGGAGAGAACCAGTGTCAACCTTGCTTGTGGTCCTACTTTTGGGAGATAAGAGACACACACCCCTGAATAAAATTTCAGCCTAATAATTAAAAGAAAACTTTCAGCAGATGTTGAAATCATCCTCTCAGGATCCTGTCCCGTGGTTGAAGATGCACGGTAGGCATTTTGTGGGGGTTCTTTGGGGGGGCAGTGGCCCTCACCTGGAGAAATGTCTTTGCTAGACCGCTTCATGCAAAAATCAGCAAGCTCATTGTTTAAGATGATTCCAGTTTGCTGCGAATATACCATTGAGCCAAACCTAAGCACAGAGAAAGCACATGGGAGAGGGGAGGATACGGACGTGAACATTGCACTTGATCAAGAGGATGCTGCGATTCTGGCTGTGTGGCTTAAGATAATCTCTCTGAATGGGGCTCAAGGGGGCTCAGTTGGCCCCTAGCAGCAGATGGAGGTCTGGCAGGCGCCTCATCCACCTCCTGAAGCAGGTTTTGAACAGAGTGTTAGATGGGCAAGTCCTGGAAGAATCTTGAGGCCCTGAGGCCTCCCCTGGAAATCTGATGGGGATGCTGTATGTGCTAGCCTGTAAAAGAGCTATATCTCAAGGCCTTAGACCTCATGACCAGGAAAGCAGTCCCAGGAGACCAGCAGGGAGAGGTCCTCCTGATCTCTCCCTGCTGAATGGACAAGAAAGGAATGGGGACAAGGGGAAGACAATGCTTTCTGCTAGATTTTCCCTGCCCCAAACTATTGGAGTCTGCAAGCCAGTGGAAATAGTCTCATGTGTCCTCAGTGAACCCTTTTCCTGCCAGCCTCAGCAACTGCCTCCCCCCTCAGACTGGGCATTCTTGGCACTTCTGCTGGGAAATAAAACCTCTCCTTGGGGAGGCAAAGCTCCCCTGCTGGCTCAGAAGCTCTTCAGAGGGGACTTCTGGATAGGCCAGGCCTTGACTCAGCTTGGTGAAGGTGGCAAGCAGCGTCCCCAACAGTATATTAGCTTTGCCTGTGGGACCTTTGGTTAATAAAGGAGAAGCAGGAGCATGCCTGGAACCGACGGTGTGCAAAAAGCACAAGCCCAACTGGGGTCAGCTTCAAACACAGAATTGTTGGTGGACCCTGCAACTGGAGGTGGTCTTCAATGGAGTTACTACAGATGCTTCTGCAGAGACCCTAATTGGAAGGATGTGGGGAGGGGGGGTGTCCACAAAACCGAGGGATAGACTTCCTGGAAGTGGAGGGCCAGGGTTGTCAAGGCTCCTCTCAGCATCACAGGTCCACTGCTAATGCCCACTTACGGGTGGTTGATGGTGCTGGTGGCTGACACAGCACTCCCATCCTCTGCCAAAACAGCTACGTGTGAGGTGCCGAAAGGGGCCGTTCTCAGCTGTACCAGGTCATAATGTGTGGCTGGGTGGTCACCACGGTCGTCGATCAAGTGCCTGACGTGGTCAGCAAAGGCATCTGAAATCAGCTCATGGAGAACCTCCTGAAAGATGGGCATTCCAGTCAGGTGAAGGAGACCTGCCCTGGGTGTACCTGATGCCCCCTTCCAATCTGCTCACAAGCCAAGAGGGTTCTGAACAGAATGTGGGGTTTCTTGACCAACTCTGAGGACCACTGAGTAAGAGAGGGTGAAGTCACTGGCCTCAGAGTTTTCTTTCCCAGCAACTGAGCAGCACAACCTATTGCACAGGAAAATACACTGAAGCTGTATACTTTCAAGGTGCTCTGTGCAAAGGATAAGGGGTGCGGAATACAGGAAAAGGAAGACTCCCTTTTCTGTATTAGTACACATAGCGTACCGATGCCAAAAGTCAGAGCCACTTTCAACTGAATAGCTAGCTTCTTATCCCTCTAGCTTCTGAAGGCATCTTAATCCAATACGAAATCAGCAAAACTTTTATATGTTCCTTGTTCTGCTTGTAAATTTGAACATTTTATATTTATTCAACTTCTCTGGGCTGTTGCAAAGATCAGTTTTTTGCATGTTAACTACAAATTCAGGACTCTCTTTTCATATACTGCTTGCAAACCATGATGAGGAGAGAAAGATGAGGCATTCAGCATTTAAATGCTGATTTTCATGATGTTACCTAAAAATTGGCAGATCTTTTTTTGTGCATCCCCCTTTGTGTTCTCTGGGCCATTTGCTCCCTTCAAAAAAATGGGAACGCTAAACTGCAGGAAAACATCCAGCTTATTTCTATAATGTTTGGGGGACAATGAAGAACTACCTTGCAAAGAATGGTGTGGAAATACAGGTTATAAATGGTAAATACGTAAAGAATAAAACAGATATTAACTTCCACCCTTCTGGAAGTTAAAAACAACAATAAGAACAACTTTGTCCTTATTCTCCCTCCCTCCCCATCACTAAGGTGAAAAATTTAACAAATGAAGGGATGGAATCAGTATCAAATATTGCCTAGTACTGACTAAGGTACTGGGAGCAAAGTACCAGTTTTTGACACAACCTACTAGACATAACAGTGGGGAATCATGATGACTGTGAACACTGAGCTGCTGACCCTAATGAAATTCCAAAAATTTGAAGGCAGTCCCAGAGGAGACCTACCTCTTTTATATTAGAAAAATTAGGGTCATCTAATTTTGCTTTTTGGCCATTGGCAAACTTCAAGGTCTCTGCAATATAGTGATAGGCCTTTGCTCTTCTGTTTGGTGCTTCCATATCCACTTTGGTGAAGTTGAACCCTGAAAGACAAGGAGAGTTGTGGATTACTCCACTCATCAATATACTTAAACTTATTTTAATTTAATACCGAATTACAATTGATTTAATACAATTAATTTAATACAGAATTACAACGTTTTGTAAAATTCTATAGATAGAAGAATATTGTTTCCACATGCTAGTTCTTGATATCTTTACTCCAAATACCAAGGGTGTAACCAAGAAGAACATATGCATTCTTAACACACAATAATTGAGCCCATCACATTAATAATCCTATTGATGTGAGCCCAAAATGTGGTACTAGGACAAGAATAAATCAAACAAGTTAATATTCCAATTCCTGAGTTGCATCTCCAACAGCAAGGTGATTGCAACCAACCATTAAACATTTCCCTAGATCCATTTTTGGTTGTTGCTATATTATCGTAAGATCATAGGAAATTTATTTCACATTGTTTAACTAAGTTTCAGGCTTGTTATTCTAGAAATCATATAAATAACTAATATCAACTTCATGAGCTTCAGCTTCCTATGAAGAAAGTTTATTGACTTACAAGACAAATTAAGTCCTCCAAAACTGTAGAACTTCAAAACCAGCAATAACATTTGGACCAAACACTCTGAGATAAATCAAGCTCATTTTTATCTCTGCCAAAGTTTTAAAAACAGCTTTCTTTGAACTGAATGGTTACAAAGTAATAATGTTATCAAACTCACTTCACTAAAAAAAAATAGATTTAGATCTTGTTTTTAAACTGAACTATCCCATAAACGAGTTTTTCATGGGAAAAGAGCTCAGGTCTGCATTCTTGCAGCACTGTACTGAGATCCCCAGGCCAACAGGGATTCCAATTCTTGCCACGATTTCAAGATACAGTAATAATTCTCAGGTTGAGCCTGAAGAGTTGAATGCTAAAGTTCCTTGTTCCATCTACTAACCAAACTCAGATGAAAGCCCAGCAGGAAGACAGAACATGTGTAAATCTACGTTTCTCAAAAGGTAAAATCTTGCAGGATGTTCTTACCGAGGACATGTATTTGATATCTTGGAAATTAGTTTAAAATAATGTCACGTTCTTTACAGGAAGGACTTGCATAATGTAAATTAGCATTCGAGCATTTGGTAATTAGCCAAATTACCAAAAAAAAGGCACCCTGGCATGAAATGCCATTCACTAACTCATTACTTAAGGGTTGAATAAAACATATCAGTCCAAAATAGGAAAACTTTGGGGAAGTTTGAGTCAAAATCCATTTTAAAGTACCAAGGAACTCTACCAAAGGCTTTCTCAGCATCCAAAGAAATTATAGCTCATATCTTGTCTAATCTGAGGAAGCAAGAACACCATTAAAAATACATTATTAGAAACGATAATGGATCAATAATCAATACAGCTATAACAATACCCTGTAAATTAATCTACAGGCCAGAGCAGCTGTTAAAATTGTGGCATTCATATTTATCAAGGAAATAGTTCTGTAATAAATCTGGTGGAATTCATGCCGAGTTTAGGAATAACTGTGTCATTTGTCTTGTTAAAACTAAATGGAGGTAATGTGGGGTTTTTTGGAAAAGGCAGAAACAGGAAAAGGCCAGTATACTTTTTATACTAATCTTCTGGAAAACCATCAGGGCCAGGAGTGTTTTCCAATGTCACAGAATAATTGTAATGACAAATACTTGAAGTGAAGAGTATGTAGCAAAATTAACAACAGAAAATTACTTTACAAAAAGAACTCATTTTCGGTAAAAAAACCAAAACCAAACCCCAAAACCCAAAACCCAATATCCCGTCTTTTCTTGATGAAACTTATATACATTCCTCATTTGTATATTGAGTAGATACTACAATATTACATTAATTTTTACAAACTTACAATAATTGCATCAGTTACAAATCTGAAGGACAATATCTTACTGGACTTTCCCCAGTATCATTCTGCTTTATGCAGTGGGATAACAATTCTACTGTATTTTGGAAACAAGCTTCTATGCAATAATTTGGTCTTGAATAAAAACTGCAGCAGGGCCCCACGCCGCAGACAGTGATTTCCCTGAGTTCCCCTTAATGCCAATAAATAAACAGATGCCTGTCCTATCTTGCTCAGCTCTGGGCGTGGAGGATTCTAGGCTTCATAGGTGAGGAACTCAGGCTCTGGACAAGGAAAGTGGAGTCCCTAGGGCAGGGTTTCGCAACCTCGGCAACTTTAAAATGTGTGGACTTCAACTCCCAGAATTCCCCAGCCGGCAAATTGGCTAGAGAATTCTGGGAGTTGAAGTCCACACATCTTAAAGTTGCCGAGGTTGAGAAACCCTGTCCTAGGAGGAAGGATAGCCCTCTCTGAGTAGGCTGCCTCGTTCAAATTCTGTTGTGGAAGAGTTCGGGCTTGTGCTTGACTTGTGGAATAAGTTGCAAAAGACCACGTTTTTTACTGCCAGCTTTTTCTTCAGAACAGCTGAAGACTGATCACTGATGGTGAGTTTCCAAGCTGGTTCTCCAGAAACAGCCTTTCTCAATCCTGTATTACCAGAATCCCCACCACATGGAAGCCAGCTGTAATTCTTCCCAAGCTGGGCACAGGCTTGGTAATTTCACAAAGAGGCCTTTGGAGCCAAGAGCTGCACCTTGCTCATTTACCTTTTAGGACATTGAGGATGAAGAAGAGGACAGCTCCTGCTGCTGGCCGAGGGGCTGAGTATATGGTATATTTGTCCAGTGAAATATTCAAGGGCTTCATCAGTTCAATATGATAATTCTCGAGGTCCTCCAGTGTCAAGGTGCCACCTAAACAATCAGGCATGACAGCAAAAGAGAGTGAATCATTTCAATCCTTGTAGGAGGTAGTGCTTTTCAGAAAGGAGGTACATAGTCCCTCTTGACCTGAAGCCAGAGGAGACTCTGCAAACCAGAAGCAGATTAGACTCTACGAGTTGCCATACTGACCAACAGATGGCCCTCAGGACTATCTGCAGCTCATTTTTCTCTGCCCCTCTTTCTGGAAGGAAGATCTTGGATTACCTATCTGTAATTAATTGGACTTCTGCGCAGCTTCATATGAAAGCTACTTTGGAGGAAAAGTGGGAGTGTTGCCAAGGCCAACAGCTAGCTTAGCAGTTACAGAGTCTTTCCCCGCTTGGATCTGATTATGGCACAAACACGAATGTATCACGATTTTGCCTTTTTCTTATCTGCAGCCCATACCTCAGTCAACTTTACATCATCCTTAGCTGGTGTTTTCTCTTTTCCCTTATCCCAACATCAATTCTGCATGGATATAACCTCATATATTTCACTGACCAACCTGCAAGTGGCACTGAGGTCCCTAGAGGTTGGAATCAGCCTGGCACCTCTTGGCTATTTGGGGCCGAGTCAAGACCTCCAGCTCCTGAAACCATTCTGTTCTGGGCCCTGGGAGGCTCTAGTTCTTTCAACAGAGGCTTTCCCTTCTGTAGGCCAAGTCTTGGAGCCACCCTCTGGCCAGGTGACCAATCAGCCTGAACAGCAGCTGACCAATGAGGGTGGTGGAGCAGGCTGCATGGTGAGGTGGGAGGAAGAAGGAGAACAACTTTCCCAGCACCTTTCAGCTGTTGTTGGCTGCTTTGGAACACTGGCTTGGCACTCCAAAATCCATATGTAAAATTAACCTGATTTTCTACCAACAGTTGGTTTCCTTTCAATGAAACATTATGCAAAACCAGAGTGAGTCTTGATAAATGGTCAAACCGCATGGTCTTAGCCATCTGACAAAATTCACCTCTTCAAGAGCTGCTTCTCAAATGAAGAAAAATTATTTGTGGACATTTTCCTGCCAACTGATTACGTTGGAAGCAGGCAAGGGTCTCTCTCTCTCTTTAATGTGCCTGTATTCTGGAAATAAGAACAGCATGTCAGGCTGTACCTGTGGAAGGGTAGATCACCCGTGGGGGCAACTAAGGTTATGCTGCCATTGTTTTCTGCTGGCTTAAGAACTGGTGGAGAGCACTTAAACTCAGCCACGAGGAAGAGCCCATAGTCAACCCATTTATGCCACCCAAACTGCTAACTACAAATTCAATGCTCGTCAATGCTCCCATCTGACCTAAAGACCTTACGGTGATTAAGGAAGCAGGGGACTTCTATTAAATATCAGAGGAATGAATTCAGCACAAAACGGTGTGATGTTTGTCCTCTCCGATCGTTGACTGAAGGGTAAAAGGATAAAAGGGTAAAATTTGTTGACTGAAGGGTAAAAGGATAAAAGGGTAACATTTTCTATAAGCTACAGGAGATATTTACAAACCTGTGTAACTCACTGCTTACCCTGGACCCTACCTTGTTTGTGAAAAGCAGGACAGAGCAAGACCCATTTCTGTCTTCTCTGCACTCTTGCAAGTTATCCATGAACTCTTATTACTTCCTTCTTGTTCTTTAGCTGTGGTAAGACATGTCCTCATGCCCTTACTGCAATGTTTACTCAGAAGCCTTTGGAAAGACTTCTGTCAAAAGGGGTCCATCTGACAAAGAACTCAAAGCCTTGCTGGTGGAGAAAGTGCCTGCACAGAAACTAAGATGCCCGCTTAGCTTCCTTTTTCTGTTATATCTAATAATTCTTGTTTTTCACTAGCTTCTTCCAGATCCTTTTAAAAGGGAAATGAAGGTATCAATGAGGTCAACCCAGACCAAGCCAGAACACTGTGTGCAGTCACACGCATTTTTGGCAGATGGTATAACACTGCTTCATTTCACAGAAGCTGAGAGCCTGCTTCTCTCACATCTCAGACTCAGAGATCACCCATTCCAATATTAAACAGCACGCAAGTTATTCGCTATGTGTCTGGCAGGAACATAAAAGGTAACATTGCTTGGGAGAACTGTGCAATCTTGTCCTACCTTCAGCTCTTACATCTTGCACTAACTTTTCTGCTGTCTTCCCAGTGTAGAATTCTTTGGCCCCATTTTCTGCCACAGCTTTTAGGGTTTTCTCTAGGGCTGACCAGTGTAAGTCCTCTCCACGTCTCAGGACAGTTCCTTGATCATTGCAAACCAGTTTGCTGAAAGAGAGGGTACAGAAGGAGGCCCGTCAGCAGTTTCTGCTCTGGAGGCCCGCCTGCGTAAGCCTTTATTTAGCCCAGACAACGAACTCTGGCTACCTCCCAAGGAAGGAGATGGGTCTCTAATCTGTCCCCTGATATGACTTTCCTTTAAATACTTCATTTCTCCTGAGGCAGCATTTAGTCATACTGGGGGAGAGATTAGAGAACTATCTGAGTGAGTGCGGTTCCGTGCATTTCCAAATGTTGCATTGATGCACTGATCTTCTTCAATCGTGTGGCATTAAAGCTCCTGCGGATGGGAGTGGCTGAAAGCCCAAATGCCAGTGGCTAGGAGGGGGAGATTCCCTCTCTACTCCTTGCCTGAAGTGGGGCTGGGGCAGCTGCTCCCCCTTGGGGTGCCACCTAGAAGCATGCCACCCCTGAAAGGGAAAGTAAAGGCAATGTCTCTTCACCCCCCCCCCCCCCCCCCCGACTGGGCAAGAAGAGGTGCTGCCAAGCCAGATTGGTAGGCAAGCAATAATCCTGTACCTCAGTAAAGACTGCTTGGGGGCAGCAGGGAGAGAGAGAAGAAAGAGAAGGCGAAACTCTTTTCCTATCTTGGCTTATCCTCCTTGGGGCAGCTGGAAGGATGAGGCCAAAGTCCCTCATTTCAGAAGCGAAAAGGAAGGACACGCCAGTCAAACACCAGGAGATATTAGAGAAGATGCAATCCGGGCTAAAAGGCAGCATGGACTTGTGAATCACAAGCTTTATCAGACTGACCTTCCTG